CAAGGGAAACAAAACAACCCGTTTCAAGACAAAATTTCTTAGGTCATAATTTCTCAGTAGTAAATTATCAGTTACCCTAGCGGTTTTGGTGCCACCGATAAAACTCTGTAGAAACTCGTCCGAATCTCAGCGTAACGACGGAGTATAGCCAGCGTATATGGGGAGTAAACTCGGAGTATTGTGTGCAGTTGTGACACATAAAAACAATAGTATTTAATTGGGATAGTTACGGAGTTTGGTTGGAGTTTCGCTGGTGTTCTCATAAAGTTTTCCTCGAGTTTTTTCGGATTTTCTGTCGAGTTTAATCGGCGTTTTCACCGAGTTTTTGTAGAGCTTTCCAGGAGTATTTTGCGAGTTTCATCAGAGTTTTTCGATGAGTAATGATTGAAAATTCGAAAAAAATAATTCGGACAGACCGGGACTCGAACCCGGGTCAGTCGGTTACGCGGCAACGACTCTACCGGTGCAGCTATCAGAGACATCGTCCGTACCTACTATTCAGTCACCTAATAAGACCCACCGAGTAATATACACCACTGTCTATCTTACCGATTAAAATTTTGAATTGCTTTATGTATTGATAAAATTCGAATTTTAGTTGAGATAATATGGTTTCAGTGTATTATCAACTGTAAACTTTTGACAATTGTTTATGATGTCATTTTTTTTATATATCATATATTTTACTTATAATTAAGTTTATATATAAACTTTATAATATATTTATTAAATAACATATTCTATGTAGATCAATATATTTCAACTTCTGGATAAATAAATTAATTAATGAAAAGTACACCGTAATTGAAAAATGATTTATTTATAGTCATCTTTGTGAAATCAAAATTAATTTTCATGCCATGAAGTATTATTAATCGCGTGTAAACTCCACAATAACACTACCAAAACTCCGAAAAAATACCAGTGAAACTCTTATAAAGCTCCGCAAAACATAGAAAAAAATTTGACAAAAACTCCATAGCAACTCCGAGAATACTCGACAAAAACTCGACGAAAACGCCAACTCCACAACAGCTCCGAAAATATTCGACAATAACGCTAGGAAAACTCCATAGCGATTCCGAAAAAACTTGTCAAAAACTTCTTGAAAACTCCAATAATACACTTATGTGACTCCGTGTCGTAACTGCACACAATACTCCTTGCATACACCTCTAAAACTCCGCGTAAACTCCGCTTATACCCCGATTAAACTCCGAGAGGGGGTATACTCGATAATAACTCCGCGTAAACTCCGAGTTTACGCTGAGTCGTCGAAACCGCTAGGGTAAAAATTTATCAACGTCATAATTAATTTTTGCTAAAATTAATCCTACAATAATTGATCCGACAAATATTTCTCATGCAATAATTAACAGCGGGGTCCGGGGCAAAGCCCCGGTGGGGGTCGGGGGCGAAGCCCCCCATTCACAAAAAGTAATCAAGGTTCGTGGCGAAGCCTCAGAGGGGTCCGGGGCGGAGCCCTGGTGGGAGTTGGGGGGCGAAGCCCTACATTTAAAAAGAAATACATTATTATAATAATTATGATACATTATAATTATGATAATTATGATAATTATTATCATAATTATGATACATAATTATGATAATTATCATAATTATGATACATAAACAAGACCCCTATTCAAAAAAAGTAATCCAGGTTCGTGGCGAAGCCTTAGAGGCGTCCGGGGCGGAGCCCCGGTGGGGGTTGGGGGACGAAGCCCCCCATTTGAAAAGAAATAAATTATTACGATACATAAACAAGACCCCTATTTATTATTTCTTCTAAGAATATACACTGCATCATGAGGTCATCATTTCCCACTCATTCGTTTGATGCATTATGCCTCATCATTCCCTTTTCTACAGCATTATGATACATTGTAAATTCTAAATTTGAAACATTATTCGTTACTACTGCCGTGTGAACAGTTTCGCCAAATCTTTGAGGTTTTATTTTGTGGTATACGTTTCGTTTAAATAATATATCTTTATAATAATATAAAATTTGTTGAATATATCATTTCCATGTAATATGATTAAGCGCGAGCGTGTTGGCATATTTTTGAGTAAATACACATTGAAATCTTGTTAAAAGGGCGCTACATGATTACGTGCGTGTGTGTTGGCATATTGTTGAATAAATACACATTCAAACATTGTTAAAAGGGCGCTACATGATTACGTTCGTTCGTGTTTTGGCATATTTTCGAATAAGCACACATTCAAATCTTGTTAAAAAAGTGCAACAAGATAACGCTTGTTTGTGATGGCATATTTTTGAATGAACACATTCAAATCATGTTAAAAGAGCGCAATAAGATAACGCGCGTGTGTGTTTTAGCATATTTTCGAATAAACACAGAATCAAATCTTGTTAAAAGACCGCTACATGATGTGACATGGGAAAAAATTTTCCATGTCAAACGATTACTTTGGTTATTTTGTTTTATTTTTCTTTATTGTTTTATTTCTTTTATTATTTAAATTTATTTACTCAACTGAAGGAAGGCGGAGATTCGACGCGACTGTGTCGCCCCAATACGGTCCTATGATCAGAGTGCGAAGCTCGAGGTAAGACAGGTAGGAGAGTAAAACGCCAAATTTCAAAAGTATGTACGAATGAGTGTGAATTTTGTAAAGAGTATGCTAGAGTGAGAGCGATCAGACGAACCAGAGTATTTCATGGGACCATCGACGACCGGTGAGACATCTGGACAACGACGTTGGAATGAGGCAGATTCAAATCGACCAATGACGACAGCGTTTGGATAATTGCAATCGAGCGAGGCGCCATCTGTCTTCTGAAATCGGAACTGAGCGGCATATCGACCAATTATTGATCGCAACGGAATAGTGGACGCATCCCGCAATACAACGGCCGGCGAGAAGGAGCTGTGAGCTGATTGGATGCGAGTTTCGGAACAAGAGAAAAGAAAGACGAGCACGTGTTGCCGAGAAGGCAGCCATTTTGACAATTCTCGATTCTGATCTAGACACCGTCATTGTTGGTGATACGAATTGATATACGCGCAGAATTGCATTAAAACACGGACAAATAAATCATTTTGTTTAAATAAATATTGTTCATCGGGATTTACGTCCCATTGCGGATTTTGACGACCGCTATAGTCTTATGGCCATTGCCGAGTGCCAGTTGTTTTTTTTTGTGGTGTCGTTGCCAACAAGAGCACGTGGAGATGCCATCGCCGAACGATCGACGCCAGCCTTCCCGAATTGAGGATAACTTCTGACGAGCCAACACCGACCTCGGGGAGTTAACTACGGCCACGGGGTAAGTCTGATCGAGATTGTTATACTTCAGGGTGTCATCACCGCGTTCTGTGTCGTGAACCTGGCCGATTTTCGCCAGGAGTTTTTCTTTTTTTTTCTTGTTGATAATTTTTGTTCCCATAGTCGATTTCTTGCGGAATTTTTCTACGATCGAGTGACGACACTCTGAGGTACGGTACCGTGGGTTGTGTGTGACGTGTGTGTGCTTTTAGTGACTCACCACGTAGGAACTTATTACCTCGAGCTTCTTAACTGTCCGGTAATCGATTATTTTAATTTCTTGGAATTGTTACTCGCCGTATCATTAATCTGAGTTAACTAATTATCGAAATTAGTAAAAATTATTTAAAGTATTTCTTGGGATTGTTACTCGCCGTATCAGTAATCTGAAGTTAATTGATTATCGAAATTAGTAAAAATTATTTAAAGTATTTCTTGGGATTGTTACTCGCCGTATCAGTAATCTGAAGTTAATTGATTATCGAAATTAGTAAAAATTATTTAAAGTATTTCTTGGGATTGTTACTCGCCGTATCAGTAATCTGAAGTTAATTGATTATCGAAATTAGTAAAAATTATTTAAAGTATTTCTTGGGATTGTTACTCGCCGTATCAGTAATCTGAAGTTAATTGATTATCGAAATTAGTAAAAATTATTTAAAGTATTTCTTGGGATTGTTACTCGCCGTATCAGTAATCTGAAGTTAATTGATTATCGAAATTAGTAAAAATTATTTAAAGTATTTCTTGGGATTGTTACTCGCCGTATCAGTAATCTGAAGTTAATTGATTATCGAAATTAGTAAAAATTATTTAAAGTATTTCTTGGGATTGTTACTCGCCGTACCCATTATAATGAATATGTGCGTGTGTGTTGGCATATTTTCGAGTAAATACACATTCAAATCTTATTAAAAGGGTGCTACATGATGACGTTCGTCCGTGTTGTACCCCAAGATTCAAAATTAGATATGTATTTGTTTTATGAGAAATTTTAGTAAAGATTCTTATTAGTAACGAGAAATTATTGCATGAGAAATGATTGCCGATAAAAAAAGACATAGAACCTCAAAATGCTTAATCGCATAAGACTAATAAACGATATGTTACAGCTGGAAGAACACTGGAAGGAAATTGCTGTCTATGTGCAACGCCTTCTTAAAGAAAAGATATCAGAAAAAGTTCCTCTAGTGGATTCGCAGTCACAGTTACATTATAGTCGAACGGCGGTGGAATCATCGTAAATTTACTTTACCGACATAACCAAGTTTTTTGACTATTGAACTAATGTCTTTCAACGGTGAAAATTACGTGAAGTTGTGGAAACTTCAAACAGTTGTTACATTGTCTTTGCTTAGCTAACCGATTAATAACCATAAGTTTTACGAGTCAGTAACCGCCACAGAACTATTGTTTCACGGTGCGAGTACTCGATTATAATATAGAATTGTTGTGTTTGTTTGTGGATTGGGTTACCAATTAACAGTTGATATTTGTAAAGAATTATATATCATATTTTAATTCATATCAACCGTAAGTTATATTTTGTAATGGAAAAATTGTGACTCAATACAGTATTAGCAAAATCAGTATACCTTTTAGAATATTAGTTTGTCTGATATTATTATCCACATAAACGTTCGATTATTAAAAATACAATATCAGAATTTTTATAGGGTAAATTAATGCACTCTAGATATAGCTTAGTTACTAATAGACCAATAATAGAAAGAATAAAAAATAATACTGACCCCACTACCATCCGTTCTTATTGGCAATTGGTTAATAAGATTTGAAGCTTCAAATGGCGGGTTGGACAATGCTGGCGTCACAGTAGCTCGAGTCGACGTTGATAAAAGCGTTCCAAGCTGATGGATATACTATAATTAATCTCAAATAACAATATTTAAATGTCTTTGTATGTTTATTTGATAATCTTACTGCAATATACTGCCATCCATTATTAACGCGAACTAATAACGCTTCCTCGTCAATAATATACGCTAATGTGCCAACGGGACTTATTGTTGACATCTAAAAGACAATCAAAACATCAACAGACTTTTTAAACACTCAAATTACTTATCTCATTCCATATTACGAATACCTTGATCATTGCCTCTGTATTTTGGAATGTTACAGCACCAGGAACAATTTTTGTCGTGCTTTCATAAATATTCCTTATTGCACCAATGCCACCTAAAGGTTTAAACACAAATACTAAAATTATTGTAAATCGTGGTTGTTAATATTTACAATAGATAATCTATTTGTTATCTCCATCATTAATATCATCATTTTAACAAAATAGTTATTGTATCAATAAATTGTTGGATATAAACTGAACATGAACTGATGAACTCCTGATTCTTTTGATTTTAAGTAGTTCATATGAAAAGCAATATTTTATTGCAGTAAATCATTCGACTTAGTTATTAAAATATTGGATCGACGTGCTGGTGATAGTTAAGTTAAAAAATTAATGACGTACTCACAATCACACTGAAAAAAAATTAGAAAAACGGTAGACCCTGAAGGCCATCCGTGTAACTTCCCGCTAATTTCATACCTAGGTTCTTAAAATTGCACTAATGATGTTTTTGAGCTCTCCGAGCTCAAAAATACAATTTATGTGTTATTTTGAGCTCGCTGAGCTTAAAGAAATAGATTTCCTATGCTTTTGAGCTCTTCGAGCTCAAAAGTCTGATAGAAGTTTGATAAAACACAATTTTTCAAATTTTTAAACTGCAATAACTTTCGAATAAATGAATCGATCTTTACGTGGTTGGCAGCATTCGACGCAATTTTTTAAGCACCATAATGAATCTGTAAGTTTAGTTTGATTGAACCAGGAATTTCGGAGTAATTCTGAAAAAACACTTTTTTCGGTTTTCTTTCGTTAACGATAACTCACGAACGAATGAACCGATTTTGAACGGACCAGCGGTGATCGACGTGGTTTTTTTGATGTTAAGAGCTAATTAGTTTTTGGAATTGATCAGTAAAGCCGTTTAAAAGTTATTCCAAAAAAACCACTTTTCAAAAAATTTTTCTATTTCACCAAAAACGATCCGAAAAGAAATATCGAAGTTATATGAAAAAAACACTTTTTTCGGTTTTTTTCGGTTTTCTTTCGTTCATGCTATCTCTCGAACGAATCAACCGATTTTGACAAGATTAGCGGTGATCGACGTGGTTTTTCAAGCTTAAGGACGGATTAGTTTTTGGAGTTGATCGATTAAGTCGTTTAAAAGTTATTCCAAAAAAGCCTCTTTCAAAAAAAATTTTTTTCCGATTTTTTTTGAGATTTCTCAAAATTTCACACACACACACACACAAACACACACACACACACACACACACACACACACACACACACTGTCATCAGTAGTCACATCGGTGCTCACTTACGGAATATCCATTTGGGCCGACGCACTAAAGACGCAAGAATCATGGAGAAAGGCTGGACCAGTATATCGACTGAGTGCCCTACGAGTAGCTAGCGCCTTTCGCACAATATCAGAGGATGCAGTGTGTGATTTCCAGTACTCTGCCTCTCAGAGTCCTTGCTGAGGAAAGACAGAACCTATATCAACGAAAAAGGT